ATCCGAAGAATGTTAAAAGATAGGTGTTGATAAATTGAGAGATTGTTGATAAGGGGAGCACATGTATTAGCTGAACCCAATTCTTGTTATGTTTGTTTTTGATGATGACAACACATTGATAAGTAACAACACATGAATGTTGTCAAGTCACAACATGAAAGAGTTTCGGTATGTTGTGTTTTTACATATGTGGATTTGGAATTGCATATATTGTGTGATAAATACATATGTTGAACATACTAATGATTATGCATACTATTGTGTTTATGATGTGATTATATCTATGTATGCTCACTGTATGGTTCTGTGTTATGAAAACCACATGCACAAAAACATATATGCATGACGTAATCGATTACACTGTTATAGTAATCAATTAAGGTCATCAGACAACTTGTGTTTCAAACTGAAACAAAGCAACTAGTTTGAATCAATTACATTAGTTGGTGAATCGATTAAAACTTGTGTGTTTGCATACATCATTTTCAAATGTACTGTGATGAGTTTTTGAAAAGAAAAGTTTTCAAAAATATTCTAAGTGTTGAAGCTTAAATTGATTACTTGTTCTGTGTATTCGATTAAGTATGTTATGTTTGAAAAGTCATTTCATGTTTGTCATAACTGCTATAACGGTCATATTTTTAAATACGTTTAACCAACATTTAATGAAAATATATTACATTAATTGTGTATTCAATTAAGGAGCTGAGTTTGTTATAATTTTGTTACATTTGTTTTATGTAACTGATTACATAAGTTTAGTAATTGATTGTTTTGCGTCTGGACTGATATAAACTATATATTGACAAATTGTTAGAATTCTGAAACAACGATTTGATTAATCATTCTTACATTTTCATATCTGATTGATTTCATCTAAGAGGTGTTTACAAATTACAAAAAATCTCCAAGAATCAAGAACGTGAAGAATTTGAAGTATCTTGAGGAATTCTTGAGAGACATTTTGACTCTACTGCAACGACTGATCACTTAGCACAACTGAAGGCGCATCTTGATAGATCGGGAGAGAAGACTTGCAATCTTTGATTTGTTGTTTCCTAGACGTGCACGTGAGAAAGAAGAATGGTATGCTCTTGACTTTGAGAGGGGATTCTCAAAGGTTTTTTTGCAACAATACCGTAGGGTACTGTGTTTGCAGGTGTTGTTGTTTCTATATTTGATTGTGTGAGTGGGAAAGGTGTTCACTTTGTGAGGGTCTATTCACAGTAAAACCTTTGGTATAATTCTCCAATCATTATAGTAAAATATCCTTCAATTAGTGGTTAATTGGAAGGGTGACTGGATGTAGGCATTGAGGCCGAACCAAGATAAAAATTGTGTTTGATTTTCTCTCCTTTATCTCTTTACATTTGCATTTATTGGTTCATTGGACACATATTTGCTTATTGCACAAGAAAGATTTCAAGAATATTATACTTTGCGAAAAAGATTTAAAAAGTGCAAGTTTTTATAAAACATCAATTCACCTCTCCTCTTGGTGTTAAGAAACAAAGTTCACCAATTCTAACAATAGGAATACATTCTGAAAATATTTCTTCAAATGCTTTATGCTCTACTCATTCGTACGGGTTATTTCTGCAAAAGCCCATAACATCTAACTCTGTACCAAAATACTACCTACCTACGAGAAAGTCAATGATTATGAGTAACGAATCTTTTTCGAAGAAGACTATATAAAGAGTTGCACGAAGAGAAAAATATGATTTAAATCTTACACTATTATATTCTCTCAAGCTTTCATCGTTTAACACTGTCTTTGAAAAAGAAAAGTTTATTACAAGTCTTCAGATTTCTTTGTATTGAAAACTTATCATCTCTACGAGAGTTTTAATTTGTACTTGTTTTTTAAAATCACCTTTCTTGTGTTTGTATATTTAGGATTGAATTATAATACTTAGTTATTCAACTTAGTATAGTTAAACGGTGTAATCAGTTAGACTAGTGACATACTAGAAGTGGTGAAACTCATCTAACTAGTAGGTTAGTTAGAGGATTGGTTAATCTCGTTGTAATCTTTTAAAAGATTAGTGAGATCCTTGAAGAGTGATTAAGGGAGAACAGGACATAGCTCAATTTGGAGTGAGCCCATATAAAAAGAAGATTGCCTTATTGCTTTCGAATTTAACTTTTTCCTAAACGCTCTTAGAAATACTCAAGTGTTTAACATTTATTGTAGACCGTTTAACCCCTACAAAATCACTTAAACACTTATTTGCGAAAAGCTTTAAAAACTCTATTCAACCCCCGTTATAAGACCCTATAAAATAAAAATATCTTTTTATTTTATTATTATATTTAATAATCTTAAATGTTTATTTGTGGTGTGTTATTGGGTGATGAAATTGTCTTGGACAAGAATAAGAATTAATTAATTTTAGTTTTTATTGTTGAAATTCAAAATTGGTTGAAGTAAGGTTTATAGGTTAATGTTTGTGTTATAGTATCAACAAAATAACCTTGGTCAAATGGTTAGATGTGTGCACGAACGTGGTGGAGAGAGGAGTAGGTGATGCGTGCGTAAGTGATAGCAAGGGGGTTGCCTTTGCCCTTTAGTTTTTCTTTCTCTCTCATGCAATGCATAAGGAACTGGGGCCCAACAACTGGTTTGTCCAATGGGAGGAGAGAGAGTAGCTTAGGAATTCTTCTAATTTATGCATGGCACAATACATGGTTGGTCTACATTTTGTTTCCTTTTTGCATGACTTTATTTTACAGAGGTAAGGGAGAAAGACNGACGAAATTGAGATTCCATGCGAAAATAGGGACTTAGTGAATGATTAAACCTTATATATATACGCACGTTGAAATTTTAGACTTTCATTAATTATGTTACTCTGGTAGAGAGGAACGAAGTAGTTCAGAAAGAAATAAAATGTCACAATAAAAATAAGTGAGAAATAAAATTATTTTAATTAAAGAGAAATGTAAAACAAAATTATTTTAATTAAAGAGAAATGTAAAACAAAATGAAATGAATGGACTAAGGGTGTGTTCACATTGGAGGATGGGAAGAGTGAGAATATGAATGAATTTGAAGCGATTTATTGATTGATGTTTTTTTAAGGGATTTTGGAGGTGAACGAGAGTGAATTGAAAGTGAAATATGTAAAATTTAGTGTAAAATTTAAGTGATGTAATAGATACAAAATTGTTTAATTAATAGAAATTAAAAATTATTAAAATATAATATTAAAAATAATATAAAATAGTAATTATTAATAATATATTTAGTGATACAAATTATTATAAGGAGAAAAACAAATAAAAATTATTTTTTAAAATGAAAACAAAAATTATATTTAAGTAAAGTGAAATAATTATGTTTAAAATATAATATTTTTTTAATATAATTCAGTGGCAAGTGGTAAAATTTTTTTGTTGGTTTAAATCATACCTAATCAATTTGATTGTCATAGCTATAAGAAAAAAACAGATAGAAACCCAATTACTTGCTATGATTGAGAAAGTGATACAAAATAGTATTGCCAAATTTGCGGAAGAGCCCGCCACAGTTTGAGACATTACTTTCATCATCTAACTAATTACTTGGAAGAAAAACAAACCACATGCAAAGAAAGACAAAGGTTAAATTAGTTTTTAGGACTACCTTCAAGACAAACTAATTCAAATTTTAAATTTTCTAAATTTGCTGACTTTCAAAATCCAAACCTCAATTGGAAAGAGCAACAATAAAATGACGCGTATTTCAAAATTTGGTAGAAAATATTAAGTGAGAATTGAAAAGAAACATAATNAGGTAGAGAGCCCTTTGCAATGGAGAAGAAAGAAGTGACGCAGTGGCGTCGAAAGCGGACTAGGCATCGAAAGAGGTCTCCCTGGTGATGAAACGTGAGGCGATTAGTAGCTCGCAAAGCACGTGAGGCGATTAGTAGCTCGCAAAGCGGAAATCGCGGAGAGAACACGAAGGTGTTGTGAAGAAAACGAAGATGGCAGCCATGGCTACTATGGAGGGTCAGAACAGAAAGATGGAGGTCCGGCGACACGACCGAAAGCGGCACAGTGTGATTCCGACACAGGGACGGCATCGCGTGATGAACACGTGTTCAAGATCTACCAGAGAGAGGAGGCGTGTGATGACGCATGCGGACGTGACAGAGACGTCGACCACCAGGGTTAGGTCGCGCTTGAAGAGACGATCCAGATCCGCTGGTCACCGGTCGAAACTGTGACGGTGGCCGGCAACGATGGGACAAATTTGGCGCTCGTGGCAGCGCGTGAATGAGAGGTAGCCCTCAGAACCAGTGTGGTTGGCCGATGCTTAAGGAGGCAGTCCAGATCCGCTGGTCACTCGACGAAAGTGCGACAGTAGCCGGCGGCGGACAATGGTTGGCTGCGTACGGAGGAGGATGGTGGTCGATAGAGGAGAGTAGCGGTACACAGCGGAATAAACAGTGAAGGCAATGGGTTCTTCAAAGAAGAGACTTTCGGTCTCTTTGTTTCAACTGGCAGTCAATAAGAATGCGCCAAAATTGATTGGGCATCAACAGATCTAAAGCACTAGTTTCAGCTACTGGTCTGAAAGGGAATGGGTTCAAATCCCATTCTAATCATACTCAAACAAACTCTATATTTTGTAATATTGGAAAACAAGGCTAGAATTCTAAGGCAGAACTTGATTAGGGCAATTGGAGCCCATTAAAAACACATGTTAAAGAAGAGACTTTTAGGGGGCCGCCGACAGACAACAAAGACAGCGGAAGCAGATCAGACAAGCTCTGATACCAAGTTGAAAATAAGACTGATTTATTATTCTCAATCATAAAAAATACATTATGATACTCTCTATTTGTAATAATCTAATTCTCCTAAAAAGGAAAATAGGGAAACTAGGAAAGTAAAATAAAATAAAAGATTATATATCTATTTCCTCTAATTAGGAAGATTCTAAAGATATTATCTCAAATTACAACAAAGTCTTAGATTCTAAAGATATTATCTCAAATTACAACAAAGTCACTGCCTGTCTCTGCTTGGTTAAGTATGTATCTTGATTTCCATCAAGAAAGATATAAAAGGGAAAGAGATAAAACTTTATATTGTTCATAGCAATTTTTACAAGTTTTAAGGAATCAGTCTCTCACAATGGATAATGTTGGTCAATATTTTTCTACTAATTCTGTCCTATTATTGAGAACTATGAACTCTCAAGATCCTTATTCTAGATGATTCAAACACGCTGTACAGAATTTGAATCCATAAAGACATGTTGATCGGTCCAGTGCAATGGGCTAAAAACTCTCAAAATGTGAATCAAAATACTTTTTCAGACAGCGAAATCTGACTGGTCTTGAAATGCATTCATTCTTTGTAAACATTAGAAACTTTCATATGACATCAGTAGGCACTAGGTTGCACATTTTTTCTAATAAAGTAGATTTCGAGCACCAAAATGACCTTAGTTAGACGTGGACTCAGTGAAATATTTTGGTTCATAAACCCAAGAACTGTTTGATTTGAGGTAGCCATAACTGAAATAATGTGATGGAAGAGTGAGCCTCTAAAGTGCACGGTGGTTGAAAAAAGAATGATATAGTGGCTATTTATCTTTAAAATACAATTAGAAAACAAATTTCTCCACAACAAAACTGAAGCACAGAAAGAACTCAGAAGAAACATAAACACCGACTGTTTTTTTTACTGTACAATGGTTGAAAATGCTTGAACCTCGAATTTTGAACAACTTACCCAAACACCCAATTCTGAAGTTCTACACATAGTACACGAAATTAAAAATAACCAAGCTTTTTTAAACCCTAAACCTGAACCCAATCCCAAAAGCACACTACAAAGCCAACCTTAGAAGATTAGCAACACCGACTATAATATAACTTTCATTATCTTTTTAGCTTTTCACGTCAAACAAATCCCAATTTCACTTCAACATCCATAAATGCATTTTCAATTTGGAAATATCAGAAAACAGTTTTGAAAACTAAAAAAAAAAACTCACTTTTTGGCGACGGCTCTGCATCCATGGTAAAGCCTCTGTTTGGAATCGGACAATATATGAGAGTGACAGTATGTCGTCAAAGCCATGGCCTTAGTCTTGCAGCCGCTGAAACGACACCGCACGATGTCGTGGCCGCCACCGAGAGCAGGGACGCCGCCGTTTTGATGGTCGATGTCCGTCTCATTGTGACCCTCCTTGAAGGGGCTCTTTCCGTAGGTCCAGCTATAGTCTCTGTACTTCGACCGGAGCTCCTCCATTAGGGCCCAATAGTGGGCCCGATAACACCGCCCTAGCTGCTTCACTCGCCGGAGCCGCCGCCTGAGAACCTCTTCCCGAGTCAGAAACCTCGACTTCGACAGCGCGGCGTCAGCGTCGGCTCCGTCCACTGTTACCGGGCGCAGCGGAGAGGAAGCGGAACCCGACTCGTCCATGAATGTTGTTGAGTCTCCAACTCGGACTGGCGAAACAAGCGACGCGGGTTTAGCGGTGGAACTCGAAGAGTTTGTTACGTTTTTTTTTTGTGAAAGGTTTGATTTTGAATCCTGTTGTTGGGAGAAACAACTTTCACTTTGCCACTGCAAGAGTGCCAGCTATAAAATGCGACAGACGCAAAAGAACAAATTAGGAGTGTCAGGACAGAAAATTCACAAATTTGATTTGATTCCCAGGGACTCAACCTGGCTTAGTATATATAATTTTTTTAAGTTGGATTCAACTCAACTTTTTTTTAATTTGTTTAAATACAGATGGAATCATAGCTTTTAAATTTTATATATCACTGGGCCTAATCCCATGATACATTCATAACACATTTAACTTTATTACACTTTTAATCATTCACTGAGTTCCTATTTTCGCATGTAATCTCAATTTCGTCCCTTTCTTTCTGAAAATATCAATTGGGTCCCAATTTTATGAAAATTGCAACAAATCGATCCTTTCCGTTAAATTGGCTGGACGGCGTTAAAAAAATTGATGAGTGGATGCTGTGATGACGAACGAACGCTCGTCCACCAGCGAACGAACGCTCGTTCACCAGCGAACGAACGCTCGTCCACCA